GTGTTGGTGACTTTTTGTCTCAAAAATGAAATCAAATAATCTTCAAAGTTTTGAGTACATTTTAGAGTACATGAAAGTCACACAATGCTCTAATAAAACCCTACCTAATGTCAGGGTAATCTGTAAAATCAAGCAACCTATTGGCTCAGATAGCTCCACTGTTAGCAATGCACACTTCATCAAGAATAAACAAATCTGAGATTGGGCCACCTGAGGTGAATATATGATTAATATATCAAAGCAATCGGACTCGTATGATAAGCTACGCTTGACAAAGTCAACATCAGAGTTAAGCAGTTGACATTAATAAATTAAAGTGAGTCTAGTGTACTTAAAATTCTAAAATAACAAACATATTTGATTTAGATACATCTCTATTGGAGATGCACTCATTACAGTGCAATTACAGTATGAATGGCTTTTATTGGAGGATGCATTAAAGTGCAATTACAGTATGAATGGCTTTTATTGGAGGATGCATTAAAGTGCAATTACAGTATGAATGGCTTTTATTGGAGGATGCGTTAAAGTGCAATTACAGTATGAATGGCTTTTATTGGAGGATGCATTACAGTGCAATTACAGTATGAATGGCTTTTATTGGAGGATGCATTACAGTGCAATTACAGTATGAATGGCTTTATTGGAGGATGCATTACAGTGCAATTACAGTATGAATGGCTTTTATTGGAGGATGCATTAAAGTGCAATTACAGTATGAATGGCTTTTATTGGAGGATGCATTAAAGTGCAATTACAGTATGAATGGCTTTTATTGGAGGATGCATTACAGTGCAATTACAGTATGAATGGCTTTTATTGGAGGATGCATTACAGTGCAATTACAGTATGAATGGCTTTTATTGGAGGATGCATTACAGTGCAATTACAGTATGAATGGCTTTTATTGGAGGATGCATTACAGTGCAATTACAGTATGAATGGCTTTTATTGGAGGATGCATTACAGTGCAATTACAGTATGAATGGCTTTTATTGGAGGATGCCCAACACAGTGTTTTATAAAACCTGCTGCCATTTATTCCATGTACATTGTTTCAGTTCTGGGACAAAAATTGCAAAAAAATGTTGACAACACTTTGGATGAAGTAAATAACTCCCCGGGACATCAGAATATTTGTATTCCTTGATTTTGTCTGCAAAAAAAAAACAGAAACACGCATTGTGAAAGAATGTGGACAACAGAGCCCAATTAATAACTGTGTAAGCATCCTACTGAAATGTACAACTCACGTGAAATGAGGCGGACTGTATGCACATTCTGACATACTGAAAAGAGTTTGGCTTGAGCAAGAAAAAATGACCATGTGAACCTGTTTGGCTAGAACAAGTTAACCATAACAATTAGTGAAATGACATAACCGCAATGGGCCATTCCAGTTTATATCCGCACCCCCCCTGTACAGGGTATAATTTCCAGGTGTTTAAGTCATACAAAGTTTTATTTCCAAATCACCATTCACCATACAGTGATGGAAATCCAAAACTATAGTTCCTACTTATGGTGTTGATGAGTTCCTTTGTGCCACCATACAGAGTAGGATTTCCAAATATAACTATCATATGTTAATTTACTATTTTTTAAAGTTCAAAATTTTATATTTTATAATGGAAATCCAAACTAGTCCTGATTCACAGTATTGATGAGCTCATTCGTGCCACCATCCTTATTTAATTTCAGTAATAACTATTTCATACTGGCCCAATTTTTTTACCATATACACTCAGAATTCCAAGTTTTTTTAGTCATACATTCTTGGAAATCCAACCTCATCAACCGG